TCAATACCTGGCCACAGCAGAGGTGAAGAAAAACTTGGAGAGTTGAGTTACTAAAAGGGAAATAACTTAAACTGAGACATTCAGAAAAATTGGAACCAGAACAATCTATTCCAGTGGACAAAATAAAGGGTTTGGTTCAAAATTCCAACATATATCACCTGAAGAAGGCTGGAGCATACAACAGTCGAAACAGCATGAATATGACAAAGAGGAGGACAACAGTCCAAGCAATGTAAATAGTGTAAATACTTTGTAAATTTACAGGCTATGAATCACTAATTCCTTGTGAATAACTGTATACTCAGTTTGCTTTATGTATACTCTGTATACACCTATCAAAAAAATCTTGCCAGATTATTAGAACAATTTTATGAATTTCAAACAATAGCTACATTAGATTGAGACAAGAATTACTAATGATATTCCATATAAATAATTATGTTAGGCTCATGTGTTTCTCATTAAATAACAGTCATATACACTCTGTGGATGCAAATCATCTTCATGACTCTCTCTGATTAGAATTACTCTTTTATTAACATAAAATTTTCCTCTCATCCTCACAGGCTTCTACTCATTTCTATAGATTGCTACATACAATTAATTTACAAACACCTTATTAAAATTACCAATTATTTGCTCTATAAACTGAGAAATATTACAATAACAATTTTACTGAAGATTAATTATTTATTTAGCTTAGTCTGGCACAATATTTAGGTGTCTAATAAGAATCAAATCACTACTATAGTAAATTGGTCTGTGAAATGAGCTTGTTTACCATTGCACTGCAATAAGTGTTCAACATTAGTTAACTTATAAAATAGGAATTGTGCAATCCTTGGATGTATTGCTACAGGTTTGTTTTTCTTTTTAACAATAATCATACTTGCATGTGACTTAATTAGATTTTTTGTAGCAAAAAAAATAAATGAAATTAAAAACATCAAATACTAGATTCACTGGTAGATCAAATCCACTCATCAGACTAGCAAATATAATCTGCCCCAAAAAACATGGCCCTGTTGCTCTTAGCATCTCACTTTTATGTCTCCTCAAGCAGGCCAGAATTTGTATATGTGCAAATCCCGTCTCGTAGAGACAAGACAAGCACTCATAAATTGCGCCCCACAAGAGCAGCCATATTTTCTTTTCAGCACTTTGCACATAAAACACGTTTGTGCTCATTTCAATCTCTGGGGTAAGTCATTTCTTTGTCACAACACCTATTACTACTACAGATTTTCTTTATGATTGAAACATTAGATACTTACAAAAAATAATTTAATAATATATGAATCTTTATATGATTTTGTTTTTACTCAGTCTGTGGTTGACAGTTTTGTGTGAGGCTAATCAACTTCTTGAAGAACAAAGAGCCAAAGCTAAGGCATATAAGCAGGAATTGAAGATGAAAAAGACATGCAAAAGAGATGAAAGAACAGCTGAAAACTCTACAGGAACAATTCCATCAACTTACAATGACTATTGAAACTGAAAAAGTCAAGTACCAGGAACAAAAGGATAAGTGGAAGAAAGAGGTTAAAAGATTATTTATTTTATATTTGTTATAAATTTTCTAAGAAAATTCTGATTGGCTATAGTGGAAGATGTTTTTAGTGTATTATAAAGACAGCACTTTTGATGGCAGATTGAGAAGAAAAGCTCAAAGAACTATTAAACAAGGCATTCAATGAAAGCAAGAAAGATGTATTAATTGTAAAAAGACAGGATGCATAGCTGTCAGTAAGGGGGACAATTCAAAGTATAAATTACATATTAAAATCAATAAGTGTGTAAATTTAACTGTCTTTAAAGAATATTAATAGACAACAGAAAGTGTGACACAGAAATCAAAATGTATATAGGGATAATGAAAGATCTCAATAATTGAGAAAAGTTGAAAATTTTATAAGAAAAAAAGAAAAAGAGTTTTACACTGTCTAATTCCCTAAACAACAGTGAATGCATGATTATTTCATTGCATATGTAGAAAAGACTTGAAGCAACTGAGATGTAGTTCTATTGACAAATTTTTAGAATATTATGGACAGATTAGAGAAGAAACAAAGAGATTTTAAGGGGAATAGAAACTACAAAGAAATTATTGCTAACAATCAGAAAGTGACTAATGAAATTTGAAGATACATAAGGAAAAAGAATATTTGGAAAGTGGTATAGGCAACAGAAGCATAAGAAAGATGTAAGAACTCTACTTGACAAGTTTGAGAAAATGGATGAAAGAACAAGTGCCACAAAGACAGAAGATGCCTTGCTGTTTCTTGCTTTCCAGATTGTTGAAAATCTTCTGTACTCTCCTCCGTTTCTAAGAAATCTGGTGAACTGTCTTATCCTTTAGATAAGAATGGCAGAGCTCAGGTTTTAGATATCTTGAAAGTGTTTAACTGGGTTTGACATGCAAGTCTTCTTCACAACTTGAAGCATTATGGTGCTTCTAGCCAATTTTTTAATTTGACTCAATCTTTCTTATCAAATTGTGAAATGATCATTGTCTCAAACAGACACCCATCTAGATTTTTTTATATTAAAGTACATGACCCAGGGCTCTATCCTTGGACCTACCTTGTTTCTAATTTTTATCAATGAACTTCCTGATGTAATCAGTTCTCAACTCAGTACTCACAATTCCAGCATGCCATGTTGCAAGAGGATATGTTTTTTCCATATATCAAGAAAGCATCTTCTCTTCATGGTGCCTACCCTAAAACTGTTCTCTGTACAGTCTGGGCTTCACTGAGTGGCCATTAAGAGTCACATGACTGACCAAATGCAGAGCATAATAATTGGGGAAAAGGAAGGAAAATTAATCCAATGAATTTACACAAAAATATTACTAGCATAATCATATCTACATTTGTTAAAAAAATTGTTAGAAAAATATATTCTATCCACTCGACAAAAACTTTATCATATGTAAAATGTAAGCATAGTTAGGAAATTCTAGATTGTCACATTTTAATGAAACATTTTCAAAATTTTTATTGTTTCTTCTCTCTTACTAAAGTGTGATCATTTTTTCCAAAGAATTTCTAAATTAATCCAAATGAATAATTTTCATTCTTAGATATCTCTTTATATTTGGATGGGCTAAGATCTAGCAAATTAATGTTTAGAAATAATACATCAATGAAAATATCTTCTCTAATCAATTTTTTTCCTGTTTATGCTTTCCTTTGTAATGTTCCTTACTTTCTATTTTGATATAATAATGATTTTTTTTCAATGTATTAGCTAGAAAAACTTTCTACAGATTTGTCTCTTCAAACTAACAAGGAAACTGTCACAAGTTCAAAAGAAATTGAAACTGAAGGAAATAACAGCATACCTCTAGATTTTGAAGCTATTTTGGTAAATTGATATTTTTATAAAAAATATATTGCTTTTCCACTGTAAATGACAAAATATTCAACTTCTTTGCAGATAGTGATTTTAAGAATAAAATATTATTTAAAAAAAAAACATAAAAATATAAAGTCCTGTGAAAATCTAAGAGACACTAAAATTGTGGGTCAGAGACATATTGCTAAACTAGCTTAAAAGCTACCCTATTCAAGAGGGCCCTTAATTGGGCCTTCATCCCAACAATGACACTTCATGCATTGAGTACATATTCAATTTTATTAAACTTGAACAATATTTTTTCAAACAATTAACAGTTTTCATCAAAACAATAATATAATTTGTCTATTTGAAACTTATTGCAAAGCTGCATGATAAACAACATTTTTGGTTTTCCCATTTGGGGTCAGTAAAAATAGCTGGTTCCCATTCCCAACCCTTGAACAACTAACATAGAGCTGGCTATGAGAAAAGCAGGGTTCCATCAGATGAAGTCAAGTAACTTTCAATGATTGTCCTTAGGTCTTACTGATTGATATTGCATTGAACTCAAAAAGAAGATCTGGAGGAATTAAGGGGATTCTTGGAATTAAAACTCTTTCCTCCTTTCCTGGACAAGTAAGGATCTCTGCTTCCAAGAGATGAGGGAGGAAGCATCTTCTTGACAATTAACCTCTTTTAGTTCCACCTTGTGTGATAGCATTCCAGGAGGATTCAATGAGTTCAGGAACTCTATTAGATAATTCACTGCCTGCTCTTGTTCAACCACAGTGTCAATGGAAAAGTACTTCATACTTTCTTTTGGAATTTCTTGGAGACGTTTCCATTTGATGCTATCCACAGTTTGATTCTTGGGAGATAATATGGCGATCTCACAAAGCCAATTTGAAGCCATGAAATGGTGTCTAATATTTGGATAAACATGGTTAATCAAGTCTTGGATACTTAAGACTGAAACTCCACAAACATTTGGGAATGAAATATCTCCATTTTGGCCTATTTTAATGGTTCCATTGCCAAGCTGCAACAGCAAAGCAGCAAATATTCCTGCCTCAAGGTCACCTGTGGTTCTAACTCTCATGTTTGTTTTCAGGCTGAGTCATTGAACATGGCTCCAGATGTAGGAATTTTTCAGTGAGTTGTGTCTCTTTAATTGAAAAAGTATGAAACACACAGACATTTTTGCATTTATTATATAAGATTAATATTTTGCTGACCTCAATTGGTTCAGCATAACTTTTAATTCAGGAAAGCTAAGTAAAGGTACTGTAAAAGAAATCACTTATTTTTTAACAATTTAATTCTTGTTTCCCTTGAATGAAAATGTATTGATAATTTTACTGCTTTAGTATAACTAACTTTTCAAGAAAATAGTGATAATGAATTGATACAATGATTTTAAATTGGAGACAATTATGAGCTTAGCAAGTCAGCAACAGTGAGAGAAAGACTTTCATTATCATAATTCTAATGATGATAAAAAAAATGTGATATCTGTTAATGTTACCAAATTGATTTAACAAATCAATTAATTTTGGCCACCTGATTCAATCCTTATAACTGGAAAAGTTTAGCATTTTGTTAAAATTTCTTCTTATCAATGTTTCACTTTCATTTTCATTGAAATGATTTTGGTTTATGGCTACATCATGTTGAAACACTGATTCCCATACAATCACTGAAGTTAAGCAACATTGAGCCTAGTCAGTGCCTAGTTGGGTGACCACTTGGAAATATCAGATGCTATAAGCTTGAATGTGAATATTTTCTTATTCTAAACAACCTGCAAAAGGTTGATAAGCTGTATAAAATTAATCAATCAATCATTCATTGAAATGCTGGTGGATAACTATGGTCATTGCACCAAAATGCAATTTCCGTCTCTTGATAGAGAATATTATACTTTTTACTTTCTCTCTGTGTATATATTAATTTCTGAATGGAAATGGATAGTGCAGTGTGCATTGTTTCATTTATTTGTAAATTTGAACATTTTTATTTTTAGGACTGACAAAATGAACATATCTGTTGTTAGATTACATTGCAATATTGCTTCCTTGATTGTGTTGACAAAGTATATCTATAAGTTAAGTAAGCATAAAAAAAACATGATAAGTTAGTCAATGATTAGATTTAATATTTAACCTGCCTAATTTGTTAAATACTTTTATTTAGCTAATTTATTTCCATATAGTGATTATGCTTATCATAAAATATATGAGTTCAGAACTTTGATATCATTTGAAGGATTAAATATTGACAGTGACTAACTTATTTAGTTTGCTGCTTCAACTGCATTAAATTAGCTCATTTAAGTTCAGCTGATTGTGCTAACTGATAATAACAAATCTCATTTGTTAACAATTAGTTATAAAAGGAATAAAATTGATCAAATGGAAGAAAAAAGATAAGTCATTTATATTATCAAGTCACAGCTTGAATTCTGCAACCTTTAAGGCACTAACATTCATAACTCTGTTGAAAGTTTGAAACATGACTTTGCATTCAAATTGGTAACTAACATTTTTAATGACTTATGTAAATGTGTCTGTGAACCATAAATGATGTAAAATGAACCGCTGATAACTATTTGATCTTCATAACATCAAAGAAGAGTATAAATATATAAATACACAAAATTTGTAATATTGTGCTATAGAATGTTCAAGCATAAGGTGGAGAACATCAGATAAAAACAATCATATAAAATTCATGTTTTTAACCATGTAAATAAAAATTAAAATATAATATTAAAAGCACATGGACTAAACTTAACCTGATTGAAGTACTTTATTTAAGTTACATTAATTTTTAAAAATTGATGTAACAAATAAAATGCTTCAATAAGTTTTCATTTAAACATCTGGTATTTTAGTGTATGTAGGATTACAAAGAGAATCATATTGAATTACTTTTTACACTGCATTACTCACTTTTCCATATCAATGATTAAAAATTGCTTCAAGTCCTCAAAGTATTAAAAAAGACTATCCTTCATCAGACCCTATAGCTTGGAAATAAAGAATCACAAAGAGCTTTGTCAAGTAACAAAGCCACATTACTTGAAGACTTCCAAACAGCACAACAACTAAAATGGATAGCACATGTAACTTGAAGAGAAAATAATGACATAAGATTTCCACACTACATTAAATGAGTGGTTAAGAATGAAACTCACATCAATACTAAAAAGAGAGATAACAGCATATTTGCCTGAAAAACAGTTTTAAAAGAAAAATTTTATAAATTTCAACTGGCAGTAATATTAACTGTTTGGTCAATGAATGCTGAATGTTTCTTGTATGGAACACCATTACCATTTCCATATTTTAACAATTAAAAAGAACTTTTAAGTCTCTTAAGGTTTTGATGAGGTCATTATGGGCTTTGCAAATTTCTTGTCATTATCAAATGCTTGAATTTCAGATTTGATTTAACCATAATTGTTTATAAAGGTCTGGTGTAATATTATATGATGTAACTTGATTCATATTTTTTATTATTATTTGATAGTTTTTCTTATTGCCAAGTGAAGTGGATCAACAGTTATTTCAAGTTGTGTACATGGTCTTTTATCTTATTACAGGAATCTCCAGATGAGTTTCTAGTTAGTGAATGTCTTGAAGAAACTGAGAACTTAGCACTGACTGAAAATCCACAGTCAATACAAACTTCGCAGCTACAGCAAACTTTTGAAGGTATTGTTGTGTAGATTCTTTTTCTTTTTTTCATATTAATATCAAAATTTGCTAATATAAATTGTTATTAACATTGGTTATCTTTCAAAATATTAGGGGAATGTAAAAGTTCCCTACATTTTCTGACAACACCTTTTATCCACAACATCATTATTCAGTCATCAAAGTATTTTTCTGTTTTTATATGACCTTAAACTACCTTTCAGATAAATTGTGTATTCCATCATAAAACAATGATTCCAGTTTTTAGTTAATTAAATCTTCAAGGAATTTTTCAATATCCTGAATTATTAAAACTGTTAACCAGACATGGATTTTGTTGCAGGGAATGAAACAAGTGATAGTCCAAAGGTAACAAACCTGCAGAATACATTACAGGTGGAAGATTTATGATTGTTTATTCTGTTGTTTTCCAAGTTTAGTAACAGGTCTGTTCTGTTCTGTCATAATATTCAGGCAAGCCGTTTACTCATTGTAGAGTTGCACAGTAACAATTTCCCCAGGTCCAGCAAATCATTACTAAGAATTTCTTTTGAAATAAAACTGAAAACTATGAAAAACATTTTCCTCTAAGTAGATTCTATTTATATTGGGATGATGAATCAGTCAAAGATTTAAATATGCCTTAACTTGACACAAGGCTACATGCATAGAACAAGTTACTCTTCAGTTTTAATGGTCAACCAGACATTCTTGCTAACCATTACATCACAGTGATCTATGATTTTCTTCATTTTGGATTCTATTTTTCATTATAAATGACTGTCTTGTCAAAAAAAAAAATGACACTTTTCTTTTTTCAAACAAAAAAAAGAAGACAAATGATTAAACACTGACTGATATTTTTTCTGTGAATTAATTTTCCTCACTTTTGGATTTTTTTAAGGCTTGTAAATGGCATGTTACATTTGTTTGATTGCACAAGCAATAAAGAACTAAGTAAAATTTAAAACATTCATTAGATTTCCTCAACATTTTGGAAAAAAAAATGTACAAGAACTTTTGCATTATCTTAATAGTTGCTCATGTATGGGATGTAGCCAGTCATATCATCATTATTAAAATAATACCTGGTTTTATATTGTGCACAATTTAAATGAAGGATGTTGCAAAATTACATTTTGGTCATTCAAAAACATTATCACAATTTAAACACAGATTTTGAACATATTCTTAGTTATATCAGAATAATCCAGAATATTTACTGGAAGCAAACCACCTGCATATTAGATAGAAAACAAATCGAGCAAGTGCATAAAATAGAAAGGGATTTAAGTGAAAGATGCATCTTCTCACCAGATTTATTTGACCTTTACAATAAAGCAGTCCTATGAGAAGTCCTAGCAAGATTTATTATTGGTGGGCACAATCCTAACAACATAAGATATGCAGATGACATTATGTTGATAGTAGACATAGAAAAAAAACTGCAGGAACTGTTAGACAAGGCAGTGAAGAAAAGTGGTAAGAAAAGATTATCGTGACATAATCTATGGTCATTAGCAAGACGAGCAGCCAAAGATACAAGCTAGGAATTGGAAATGTCAAAATCAAACAAGTACAGAATTTAACTATCTGTGAAGTATTTTAAAAGATGTCAGAAACGGTCACATATCTGAGGTGCATTGGAACAGAAGAAGATGCTTTCCAAAAGCTAAACACAATATTAAGAAACAAGATTTCATTAGAAACTAAGAAAAGAGTGCTGAACTGTTATATAATATCCATCTTCCTATATGGCAATGAATACTGGACAATTTCCTCACAGATGAATAGGAGACTTTAGGCAACAGTGTTGTAATTCTATAGAGGGTAGCTGAGAACACCATGAACAAAATATGTGAGCAGTGAGGAAGTTTTAATGAAAATGGAATGAAAAGGATGTTTATACTTAGAATCAGAAATTAAATTAAAATTATTGGAAAACATAATGAGGAAAGAAGGCTTGGAGAATTTAACACTCACAAGGCATAATGAAGGCAAGAGGAACAGAAGGAAACAGTGAGTAACCTACCTAACAAGCTTGTGTAAATGGATGGCAGAACAGGGAGTGGAAATGATAGTAAAAAGACAAACATTGATAAGAGCTACAAAGGATAGGAAGATGTGGAGAGCCATGATCACCCATCTCCTCACATAAAGAAGAAATTGAATCATTTTTAAATTTCTAAATTATAATGCAGAACATGTTTAAATCTTTGACATTTCTTTTGAGTGACCCAACAGTGTTAACTGCCACTTTTCTTTTTATATAGCCAAGTATTTGAAGAAGTAAAATTTGGTGTCATGTATGGGAAGAATGTCTTTAGAATAACTTGAAAAACAATTCTGCAGAGTAAATGATATTTATTACCTTTCAATGTTTATGATCCAAACATGGGGAATGTAAACATCCCAATGTTTTTTGTTTTTTTTAATAGAAGTAATTCATGGATATTTTAAATGAATTCAAGGAGAGAGTATGTAAAATTATGCAAACTACAAAGTATGAAGAACATCTAAAAATTAAGGTAGAGAGAGACATAAATTGAGTGGAATTGAAATCATGTGAAAGCTGTAAGTACAAAGCAACAGGAGGTGTACAATATATATTTTGTAACAGCCAGAACTGCCTTAATATTTAGAACAATAAAGATGACTGCTACCATAAAACAGTGGACAAATATGGAGGTATGAAGTGTAATAAGATTTTTACATGCTATGGGCAAAATTCCAACTTTGAATCTCAAAGTTAGTTACTTCCTCTCATTCTCTATGGAACATTGGGCTTCTTTTGTCACTGCATTTGAACAAAAGCTGATCAAGCGTAGCAGACATTATATTCATTTGGACGTGAAAATAGTAGGAATTTCAATGGCAATTTGGATTTAGAAACAGTCCTCAGCCACATGTATACACACTTTTAGTATAGTGTAACACTTTCATTATCATGTTGGTCTTAAGGTTCCTTCATACCACAATGGTTACCATCTAGCTGACTCCTCACTTTTTAACGCGTTGCTGGTTTGTCATCAGTATTGTGATGATGAGCATGGTTCTGCTCAATCT